TCCCCTTCTGCCCGGCTGGATGACTCTGCTCTACCACCCAGCGCGAGATCACGGTCAGGTATGTGGGGACCCTGCTGGCCGCCCAGGGACCGGTTCCTGGGCTGGGGGTGGGGGGCTGCCCCCACCCCCGCTTCTCCGAGCCCTGCCTCCTCTCTGTCCCCGCAGGCCAAAGCTTTGCGGAGAAGCCCGAGCGCAGCCACTCTTCCTCGATGGCCGAGGTGGCTGCCCTGCGTGCAGCTTCTTGGGGGTGGCCTCGCTGTGGCCGCAGGCTCCTGTGTAACCCATCCCTTGTGTGACTTGCTCCCTGTGCTGCTCCTGTCCCTTCCTAGAGCATGGTTCTTGCCCCGAATGCTGGAGTGCCACAGGCTGCTCCCTTCTGTGGGGGAAGTGCCCTGGGCAGCCCCCCCTCTTCTCTGGGACACGGTGTAGGCAGCCTGGGTGGGACAGCCCTTGTACCGTGGTGCAACCCGGGCAGCCCTGGCCCAGGATGCCTCATAAGGTCCTGCCCGTGCAGAGCTGCTGCCCCCGCTCGCCGGGCACTGGCAGAGGCTCCTGTGTGCAGAGGCAGCCGAGGGCTGGGTGTGTGGTCGGGGCAGGTTTGCCCCCATTTCACAGGGTGGTACTGCTTTGGGATCTCACAGCTGGTACTGGATGTGGCGCTTTCCTAGGGACCAGGGCGGGAAGGCTGAGTGCATCCCGGTGTCCAGCCTGTGCAGCGGGTTCTCTGGGAGGAGCCTCCCGTCGGTCAGGGTGCGTGTGCTCCGCAGCTCTGACCACTGCGTCCCTCTTGCAGGGCAGCTCTGGCCTCTGCCCACCAAGGGCAGCCCCTGCCGAAGACGCTGAGCGTCCTGGAGAACACGCCGCAGGTGCGAGGCATGCACACCATCATCAGGTAGGTCCCTGCCTCCCTCGGGACTTCTTCCGTGTTCCTCCTGGAGGGGCTGTTCTGTGGGACCATGCAACAAAACCTGGCGTGAGTTTTTGCTCCTCTGCCCTTGGGGCTTCAGGCGCAGGTATGGCCTTGGAGAGGACTGAGCAGAGCTGGCTCTGGCCTGCAGACACTTTTGGTGACAAGACCTCAGCACATCTGCCCGGGGGAGACTCCTGAGCCGCAGATGGGCTTTTCTTAGGATGAGAGGAGGCAGGCCATCTCTTCCCTAGCCAGAGCACAGGCCTGGAAGCTGGTGGCATGGGGTGAGGGACCCAGGCCGCTGCTTATGTGATCTTTTAATTCCCTACTGATGCTCCAGGTGACAGTGGCATTAGTGCCAGGTCAGGAGCTGAATCCCGTGGGACCACTAAGACGTTACTGCAGTTGCAGAAGCTTGCAGCCTCTGCACGCGTTTCTGTCGCTGGGTTGTAAATCAGAAAGGGGATGCTGAGCTCAGCAGGGCTCTTCCCCTGCACCTGCTCGCACTGTGGCCGGCTGCTGGTGCCCCTGCACTGGTTTGGGGAACATAACCCTGCCACCGCAGGCAGGCCGTGCACTTCCCCATAGGAAGCCAGGCATTCCTTCTCCAGGCCCCTGCTGTGACTCCTCCCTGTGGCGGCGCAGGCTCCCGAGGCCGTTTGGCAGTCAAAAGCCTGATCTCCCTCGTCAGGTGACGTGGCACCTTCTCTGCGCCGGGCAGGGACCTGTGCCATGGCTGAGGCTCGCGTACCTCGCCCCTAGGCTGCGGTGTTCTGGTAGTTCTGAGATCGGTCCAGCTAAGGGAACTGGGGAGCGGGTACGACCGTGTCCCTCCGGTGGCGTCTTGCTCCACTGCTCTGGCAGGGGGGGGGTAGCCGATGTCCCTGTCTCATCCGCCCTCTGCACACACAGTGGTAGATGAAGGTTGAAGGGAGATCCTGGGAGAACAGCACCTCCAGAGGCGGCATGTTCCGTGATCCCAGAGGAGCAGCTTTCCCTTACCCGGGGCTGTGCGGGGACAGAAGAACGCGAGCCTTTGTGCCGTAGCCCAGCCCACCCCGTCTCTCGCCTTCCTCTTCACAGGCTCTGGCACCGACGGCCCCTCCTGTTCCCTCAGGAGAGCCAATGTACGCGAGCCTGGGCTGATCTGTTCGCGGTGCCGAGAGCCCGGCTTGACCAGCCCCCGTCCAGAAGGGACAGCACCGCGGGCAGGCGCCAAATCCTCTCATCTGTAGCTGCTGTTCCCAGCTTCCTCCCTGAAGCCTGCGTCCTTTTGCCTCGCTGGGAACGGCCTCCTGTGCCTCTGCCTTTACACCACAAGCATCTAATAACCTTAATCTGCTTGGGCTGAGGAGCTTGTTGGCTGTCCTGGGGAGGGAGGGCATCAAACCCACGTGGCTGTGGTTGGAGCCCAGCGGCGCCGCTGATCTCAGGTTGCTGTGGCGGCGCCACGCTTCTGGAGCCAGCCGGTGTCAGCGGCAGGGGGGCGGGGAGGGGGGCCATTCCCCTTTCCGCATGCAAAATACTGCATTTATGAGGGGCGTTGACTTGGCCTGTCAGCCACCCCCTCAAATCCCGCTGCAGCCCGAGGAGGCACGGAAGGCTGGAGCAGTGCTGTCACTGAGATCTCTAAGCTGAGCCTCTCTTCTGGGCAGAAAGTTCCTGTATTCAGCAACGGCAAGGCGGCTTTTATTTCTGGTGCTTGTAGGTGATGCTTGGCAGCGCTCGCTTGCTTCTGCATGACTTCAGTGCGGTGTGGAACTGTTGATGCTCCTCACGTGTGACCCTCCCGGCACTTTTCCCCGCCTGCTGATGTTCTCCGGGCTCCCTGGAGAGGTCTGGGCTGGCGGGGGGTCGAACGCACGCCTTTTGCCGAGCTTCCTGCACCTCAGTGCGTGAAGTTATCCTGTCTTGGCAAATCTGATCTCCCGACTTCATTCTGGCTGCCGTGGTGCCGTCAGCCCCTCTCCGCAGTGGTGGCCCTCGTGCAGTGCTGGTGCCCCCACCAGTACTGCCCTCCGGAGTGCCTTGGCACACCAAGCCTGGCATCCAGAGATGCACCACAGAGCCATGAGCCACGATCTCCCCCCCCAGGTTCCCTTTTTCCAGCCTGCCTTTCCCCGTGCGGCTCTCTGGGAGACAGCCCATTGATCTCGGCTTGCCAGGCTGCTGCTGGCCAACCCCCTCTCCCTGTTGTTCAACACTGGAGGCTCTTCTGAGCCCCAGCCTTCTGTCTCGGAGGGCCCTCCTGGAAGATTGTGCTGCGGCAGCAGATGAGCATCTCGCTGAGCATGGTCATGGCCAAGTCGGGCCTGGCATTGCGGGGAGAAGTGGTTTCCAGAGTGATTTTCTGTTATTGTGGAGAGGCGGAAGCTGAAGCACAGCTCTGCACGAGAGCAGCTGAATGATTTTGTTCATGATCAGGCTGGAGATGGGCAGTGCGATAAGCGCACGGCTCCTAGCTTGTGACTTACGAGGCACTTCGGTATCGGGTCCAGATCACCAGAGCCAACAGGAGCGTTCCCTGCCGCCTGTTCCTCTGCAGGGCCCGAGCAGTCCTTTCTGCCCCCCGACATCCCTGAAGCATCCTGGGCGTTCTCTGCCGCAGGGTAACGGCAGCTCCTTTCCACCGCTCGCACCTCGGTACCCACATGCTCGTGGAAAGGCTTGGGGACATCCCCTGCGGCACAGCCTGTGGGTGGCGTTGGTCACCCGCATCTCTTGGTGAGTTTGCTCTGGCCTGAGCCTTCGGACTTTGTGCTCTGGCAGGACACGTTGTCCTGCGCCGGAGCCGTCCTTGGGGAGCGAGTGGCTGTCGGTGCTTCGGTGAGGGGCAGAGCTGGGTGCTCCCTGCCCGCCGGGAAGCCACCAGTGCCGGAGAGGGTGCTTCGGACGTGAAACCCGTCCGTGCTTGAGTTCCCTGAGGGTCTGAATGCGATGGCTGGCTTTCAGCTGCGGAGGCTGCTGCTCGGGCACCAAGCTGACGCCGTGTCCAGCCTCGCAGCCAAAAAAGCCCTCTCCCCCGCGGGGGTGGGCAGCGCCCGGAGCAGCGTGTGCCATGGGGCTTGGCCTGCACCATGGCAGGAGGGACCGAGCCTGTGCTGTTACGCAGCGGGGTGAGCAGGCCTGGTGTGAGGACAGTGATGTCCTCTTTGGGAGCGCTTCTGGTGTGGAGACATGGCTGGAGTGATCCTGCGCTCTGACCCCTGCGGGAAGGGTCCTCCGCTGCCGCCGGGGGATGTTGGGGCCGCCCCTTCCCCTCACGTTGTTGGCAGTTGCTTGTCCCTCGGGCCAGGAGAAGTTTCTTGGTTGTCTTCGCCTCTGCACAAAAAGGGGGGCAGGCTGGGGCCTTGGCAGCACAGGGACCGAGGATGCTCCTCCATCCGTGGGATGCCTTCTGGAGGCTGCGGAGGAGCCTGCCTCTGCGGGAGCGCTGACGGGGCTGGC